CACGACGCTGGATGGCCGAAAGCCGAATCGAGCGAGCTCGAGGAGAGGAGAACCGTCACCGGTTCTCCTTCGCAGAGTGTCTCGAATGTTCCTCAGACATTCGAGCATGTATTCTCGCAGGAGAGAAAAAGAGATACCGCCGTGCGTGATACCGATGAATTGCCAAGTGCAGATGTGCCGGCGTGCAATCTCTCTAAGAACGAATCCTTCTGGATTTCCCAAGTGCATCCGACACCGGCGGAGCCTCGGGTCTTGTAAAGAACGAACTTGTAAAGATCCGATTGGTTAGATCTTTGAGTGTCTAGGGCAAGGAACAATCGATCGAAAGATCTACTTGAATCGACTCCAACGCGCACGTTGCCGCGTTTAGGCGGCAGTCGTGTCGCGAGGCCATGTTGGCATTAAACCCTAGCAGCCAGCATCATCGATCCTGGCCAGCTGTGACCAATCGCGATGTACCTTCCAACCGGAGTCGGAGTACTGCGCGGAGAAGCAAGGAGAGGAGGAAGAGGAGAAGAAGAATCGCGAGGGGAAGGACAAGGTGCGACGAGGAGTGTGTGTAGTGAAAGAAGGGAATCGGCCAGACAACAACGGCATTTTTCCCGCGGGAGACTCCCTTTGCATCGACATTCCCCCTTTCCACACGGAGAACAACCGTTAACTTCGACCTGGCAACCGCCGCCGCCGTGTTCTTGATCCGCTCCCGGCCGGCCAAGAGGAGAGAACGACCTTTCCCGACAGGAGCCTCGAGACGCGGGGTCTCGGATGTCAAAGACCGGGTGGGAGCGCCTTCGTTTCCTTTCGTTCGCGCTTGGCTTCCCCCGGGCACCTTGACGGGGCCTCGGATCGCCCAATTATTACCGCAACCGGATCGAGACTCGGGCCTGATCTCGTTGAATGTTTAATGAGCGCCGCCGCCACGCTTCCTTTCCGCGCACGTTCACGACCCCGTGGCGGAAGAATGCGTTTGGCTGTTTTCTTTTTCTTTTTATTTTTCTTCGAAAGGTTTCTTCCGGCGATTCGCGATAAGAAAAAAAGGGGCATGGTTGATTGTCATTATTGCTGTAATTTATGCAACGAATGTATCATTGGTTCCTTTTAAACGATAGCATCGAGGCTTATTTAAGAACACATTTTTATTTTTAATCGAATTTATTGTTGGATGATCCCAAAGAAGGGATGCAAACGTCATTTATATGTATATGCTCGAAATATGAGATCAGGTTCGGCAAACTTGACATTTCTCGCGATCGAAAGAGAACGATCTTGATTTTTAACACAATTAAATCCCCCGATTTTTAAATTCGATTCTCAAAAAGAATATTGAATAATCGTATTTTCATTCGATATGATTTGCATATAAGAATCTTTTTTTTATGGAGAAAAGAGACACACGCGATCGTTTTATATTATAATACAATAGACCGTATTCGTGTCGTCGGAATTAACATTAAACGCCGATGGTCTATATCTAAATGACTGATTAGAATCAGATATTTCTAAATTTACAGATAATTTTCAAATGGATAACATGCGGAAGAGTTCGTAAAAAATAGTCGAAACATTTGTAAAATCGATATAACCACTAACACATAAGTATCTATCTTCTTATGGTAAAACTTTAAGATTGTCTGTGATATTACGTAGATGATAACTCTGTCGCGTTGCGATAGGCATCGAGATATCCCCTTAACGTAGGAATAGCGAATCATCCGCATGCCATATGCGAAATAACACTGCACAAAATTCTAGAAGGATTCCATTACGATTACGCGCGATAAACTTGGATATACCGTAACGTAATTGTAACGTGGTCCTCGATGATGAATAATGGAAGTCTGAATAATAAGATCACACTCATTCCTTCATTGCGTTCGACTTGTCGTTTCCCTTTTACATCGATCCGACATCGTTCATCCTACGCTAATCTCGCCGAGCCGATTGTCATTCGAAGGTTAAGAGGTTAAAGGTTCAGTAAAATATCGCGCGCACGAGGCGGTGATATATCTTTGTAAATAATAGCTAAATATTAAGCGAGTGATTGCAAATATATCGGGCGAGCGATCAGAAAAGATTCGACTTCGTCGTAATTTCCTACTAGATCTATCTGTATAGCTTACTCTAGGTAGCCTTTTGAACTTTTTATAAGAGCATGACCATTGAGCTACTTCCAGAATTCTTCCATTTAGTCTGACTTTCCTAATTAATATCCGCAATGTAACATAAGTGAAACAAACAACATACTTATTTACCCATACATATATACATATATGCGCATTGCGCAATTACATCTTTGTATATATACAAATATACTACGAAAATAAATGTAGTCAATGTGTCTTCGAATCGCATTGATTCATTATCCTCTTCCTCAATTTTATTATTTAATTCTTATATATAATTATCAGCAGTTAAACGTACTATTTTATGCTAATTATTCAATTATTATTAAATTTGTTTATTTATTTTCACTAACTATAATATTTTTGACAAAATCCATATTCTTATTTTCCAAGCATTATAAAAGTTACAATAATTAATATTATATAATTAATCATTTTATATTAATATTATAATAATTATGAGAATTATTAATATTCGACGAGTTTTCTAATGGCTACATTAGCCTTTTCACTTTGATTAATTACTAATATCTTTTTAATTGTTGATTTCGTATAAAAAAACATTTCGATGTGTCATTAGCGATAGACATAAATTGTAACCGACAGTATTCAGTGGATCGTGACCCTCGCATGAAAGGCAAAAGGAAACCTTTCGGTCATTGTGCTACCGTGCACACCGCGCAATTCCTGTTCTAGAACTGGCTTGGTAACGTTATGTTTCCGGTTTCCATTTAGCAGGTTTTAATACGGAAAATAAAAGAGATTGCAGTCTCAATGTTATTTGGTCTTTCTTAAAATATCTTATTACGCTGAAGTAAGTAATATACGGCCTGCGAGGGATCGATAAATGGAAATGTTTTTTTTCCTTATTTACGCGTTTTCTAACGACTTTTATAAATATTATTTTGCAAACGATGCACAATACAATAAAAATATTCAATTAGAAATCATATAATTCAAGCATTTATATATTAAACATTTTTATAATTATATATATAATAATTATATACAAAGTATATAATTATATAAACTATCTATATATTTTGAAACTATCTATATATTTTGAATTTATAATAATTAGAAAGCGTATTTATTTCTATGATTATTACGTATTCTTATTTTACATGCAATTGTTATGCATATTACAAATTTATATTGATTGTAATTATACCAGGATTTAATGGCAAATAGAATCATTATAACTTTCTTTTAATTATAATTTTAGAGTAAAGCTCCAGCTTTTTTTTTTATTTTAGTTGAATATATTATTATATTCTGACATCTTTTAATTAGTAGAGAAAAGTTATAATTTTGCTCTTATTTTGTATCTCAACCAATTGAAAAATCGTATGATTATTAATATATGTACACACGCTTCGACCGATCAATACTTTATTCCTCGAGGCTTCTGCGTACGTTTTCGTAGAAGTCGCGTGTTAGCGCATGTAACATTTGCAAAGATAATTTATTATTTTTGCTCAGCGAGATCGCGCCATTAAAAAACATCATGTCAAAATATTTACTCGACTATAAACGATAAACAATTATTTTTATCGATCGGTGAATATATCATTCGTATGCGAATTTGTAAAATTTTAAGTAGGTTTTTTATCGAGTTGCGCTTTTGCCTATCTCTGAAGGATGGTAAGATTCTTCCCTTTACATAAGATGTCTCAACGGTTCTTGCACATCTGCAACGTTTCAGGGTCGGAAAGTAAAGAAAAGACTGCTTTTATAAAGACTGCTCGTGCGTCGAGATATATAACATACTCCTTTGGAAGAGCAAAACCTATTGTGTAGGAATCTACGTGATACCTAGGGGAGCTATTTACATCGATATATGTGATAGTCAATTGTAAAACTTTATACTAGCTTGATATACGAAAAATTCAATTCGTTTTTTATAAGTTTGGTTAGATAAATTTTTATTTTTTTTTTAATTTGCTCTTTTAGATTCATTGAAAAATATAAATTACTGAAAGATTTAGAATTAGAATCAGAATTAGATTTATTGATAGATTTATATTGAAAAATATAAATTTTTAGACCATAGCTTTTTTACATTTTTCACACACAAAGCATTTTCTTTTATTTTAATAGTTTAATGTAAGATGACATTTTATTTAAAATTACATATCATTTTAGTTATATATTATTTTAATAATTTATATTCTCGTATACGTATCTTTTTCCAAGTAATCTCCGAATTAAATCAATATAAATAAAAACCAAAAAATCTTTTAATTTACAGATTTATTAATATCTAGCTCTGTAGTTTCAAATTATTACACACAAGAAGAACAGGAAGCAAGATTCTTTATATATATTTCTCAGGTATCTAGAAAAGTGTTTCGTGAGAAGGTAGAATTGTATAATACAATTGTGGGAATTTATATCACGCACAATGAGCTCACAATAGCTAAAAAAATCGCCGAGTAGAACATCTTGGCAACGAGCGTCTGCTCGCTTGGCATGCAGATTTCTTCCGAGATGATATAAATCTTGCGTGAGTTGCAAATCAAAAGACGAAAATTGCAGTCGCAAGCGCGATTTATTTCACAAACAAATCGTAAAAACCACGCGATATACGCGTGTGGTCTTTTCTTTATAGTTGCATACATTAGGCAGAATGTTCCGCGAATTGATCGCAATATGTACGAAATTTTACGATTCGTGCGACAGGTATATATATATATATATATTCTTCGTTCGGATTAAATGTGATATATATTTACAAAAAAATAAGGTAAGACAAAAATATAAAGTATGATGCAAATTATAAAATAACTAGAAATATGAGATAACATATCGCTGAGCAAAATTTTTTTTAAATCTTGTCATATTTCTCAGACATATTCGATAAACTTTTAAAGCCATTCCTTTCGAAAACAAAAAAGTTTATATTAAAATTTTGTGTATAATTTTGGTTTAATTTGGTTTATTTTTTTATAAAGATTTGTTTTCTACTCTTCGGTTATGAATAAATATTATGTGTGAGAAAAATGGTATTATATAATTTTTGAAAATATTTTTTTAATTATTAAATTATTAAATATATTCTTTGCATCATACATGCAAAGAAAGATATATTATTAATATACATGTATAATAAAAACTTACGGCCATATGTACCATTGTTTCAATTTAAGATCTTAATTTACGAGCCATTCGATAAACTGAATTATACTGATAATAAGACAATCCAGTTTCATCGAATAATTAGTAAATTTAAAAAAGTTTGGGACTTTGGATTTTTTTCCACTGAAAAATGCGCTTCATAAATTATAACTTACAGTTAAAGAAATATCTTTATACTGATGTGTATATACTGTAACTACATAAAATTTCTGCTTAATTATAGAGAACAACTTCGCACTTCCGGGAGTTATTACTGTGCCATAATTTCATGACGATGTAAATATACCTGTCTCGTTTAATGGATCTCGCTGTTTTTCTTGGTACAAATTAAACTCATAACTCATCCTTTGAGACATCTAAGATATATGCACACACAAGATATGTGCGCGCACATATAAAGACAAATATATTATTTTTGATGAATACATTTCTTCATATAATTTTCAAATTATTTTCAAAATATATAAAATTAATCTATAATAAGCATAAAAGTGTGGCTTGTCATTTAATTATTCAAATAATGAAAGACGTGTAAATCTTTTGTCGTGTAATTAAATTATTTGAAAGTAACATTTACTGAAATAATTATCATTATTCCGAAATATATATCAAATATATTTTCTTCTCTATCTAAATTAACATAAGCAGACAGATTATAAAATGCAGCGCAAATATTCAAGCATGTAAATTGTACTCTTTTAATTTGCGGATCGTCAGTTTTCCGTAGAGATAATCTTGAAAACTCTTAACTAAGGAAAAGAATTCCTTTATAAATTACGCTATTACCTTTCACCTTTAGGCCGTAATAGCTCTTACAGCAATATACTCACACATCTGCAAAGAGTCGTTCTCTCTCTCTCTCTTTCTCTCTCTCTCTCTCTCTCTCTCTATTTATCTCTCATATATTCTTTAAATTTAATTATTTTCTTAACCGTTGTGTGCTACACTAAAAACACGGTTAATGCTTTTCCGTTTATACAAAGCAACTTTTATCGCTAAAGTTTTTATCGCCGAAAAATAATAATGGCAAACACTATTTTTGCCCAACTGAATTATACTGCAAGATTTATCTACGAGCGAAGAAAACATTTACCTTATTTTTCTGCAATAGTTATCTTTACTTTTATACAAACAAGAGCCTTAAGAATAGCAAAGTCTAATATTATTCACTTGCATGTATTCCTTATTATGTAGAATAGAGTAAGAGATTGCTCTTGCAACAAAAAATCTGTTCAATAATTATAAATAAGAAACAAAAAATTATACTTTATAATATATTTGTAATGTGAAATAAAATCTCGATAACAGAAGAAATCATTAGATGAATTTTACAAAAAGATATTCTGACGTCAAATGTGTCAGTCATGTTCGTTTTTTTTTTAAGACTTCGTACATGTTGTCCATGCGAATATAACAATGATTTTATCCATTGCTCGCACGTCAGAGATTCTGAGATAACATTGCAGAAAGGTGTGTTGTGATCTCACGGATCTCGTATATATGAATCGGAAAGGTCGAAGTGCCGTGACACTTACCTAAAAGAAATAGAGCCGCGACTAACAAACAACATCGAACAATGGAAAACAACGGTATATATGGAAAATAGTCGATTGGGTCAACCTATGAGAGTTTGATCGATCTTGAGACTTATAAAACAATTACTTTGAATTCAGAAATAGACATGTCAAGAGAAAAAAATGTCGAATTATTAATATCAGGTAACAAAAGAATCTTTTCATCTGCCATATTCTTCCTAAAAACGATGATATTATATCTTCTCGCGACTGCTAATTAATGCATTTATATTTTTCATTTAACTAATCTTACTTTAATTTAGTCATATAATATGTACGACATAAAATATTACTATTTAAAGCTTTATAGAAAAGTTTGCACACACAACATCTTCTAACAACAAAATATATTACAAATAAAAATTAATAAGAAGCATAATGATCGTTATATGTTTATCGATATCATTCATTTGTTATGAATAACTTGCATCAGATTTATTTTATTTCACAGAAAATTGAAAAATGTTGTTACCGCGTTCACAATTGTTCAGATCAAACCGAAATTTTTATC